AGAGATGGAGGACGAGTACGAGGAACGAAGCGGAGAGAGTGGAGGAGGAAGATGAGGAAAAGAAGCAAGACGACGATGACGACGACGACGGAGGAGGACGGTTAAGGAGCCCGAGGAGAAAGACGTCGAAGAAAGGGGGGGGGCCTCGTGATCTTTTGAAGCTACCCCGGGGGCTGTTGGGGCAATCTGGGGCAATCTTGGGGCATCCTGGGGGCCTCTTGTGGGTTTGTCGTGGTTCTCTTGGGTGCTACTGGGGTCTTCTTGGGCTGTCTGGGCGTGTCTTTGGGTTTCTGTGGGGGCTTTGTCAAGCCGTCTTGGCGCCATCTTGGGCTGTCTTGGGCCGTCTGGGGCCACCCTGGGGCTCTCTTGGGGGCCCCCACCGAAGCAATCTGTTTGAGCATGTCCAGAACAAAACTGCCATCCCATGCTGGAGAAACCTGACCGGACAAGAACGGGAAGCGTCGCTTTTGTCTGTGAAACTTGTCATCGGATGTCCTCTTGAGAACGCCACAGAAACTCGGAAACGAAACACAAACGACCCCCCCCAAAAAAAAAGCTGGCCATTCATTGTGTTGGGCTGCCGTGTTCCTGTAATACGCCGAGTTATTGTGGTCTGCCGTGCTCACATGCTCTGCCGTGTTCTTGGGCTCTGCCGTGCTATTGTGGTCAGCCAATATGGTCTGCCGAATTGCTGGGGTCTCCCGTGCTGGTCTGCCGTGTTAATGCGGTCTGCAATGCTAGTCTGCAATGCTGGTTCTGGTTCTGCGGGGCCTATAAAGGCTGAATGGGGCACCACTGAAGCGCCAAAGCCCGAGGCCACCCCCGGGCCTGTCCCAGAGGGCCCACGAGGGCCTGTCCCAGAGGGCCCGAAGCCCGGGCGAGCGCGGCGCCGAACGCGCGAGCCCCGGGAGGCAAGAAAAGCGGGCGCGGGCCACTTCGGGCCCCACGCCTCCCCAGGGCCAACCAGGGCCGCCCCCAAGCAGGGCGGAGCCCCAGGAGGCAGAGAAGGGCGCGGGCCGCTTCGGGCCACACGCCACCCCAAGAGGCCCACGAGCCCGAGGGGTCGGGAGGCGAAGACAGCGCGAAGCGCAGCGATACGACAGAGCGAGCGGCCACGCCCCTCGCGCCGCACAGTCACGCTCAACATCGCGGGGCCGCAACGGCAGAGCGAGCGGCCACGCCCCTCGCGCAGCTCAGTCACTCTCCTCATCGCCCTCCTCGCGGGGCCGCTTCCGCCGCCGCCTCCCCTCTAGGCTGGCCTCAGCCGCATCGGCCCAGCCCCGCAGCGCCGCCTCGTCAAGGCCGTGCGCGCCAAGCCAGGCCCGCCTCGAGCTGGCCGCGTGCCCGGTCGCACCTGCGGCGGGCGCCCCGCTCGCCGCGGGGGCGGCGGCGGCGGCGCCAGGGCCGCCAGCAGGGCCTCCAGGCACCACGGGCTCGCCGTCCTCGAGGCCGGGGGGGGCGGACCCCGAGCCGAGGGGCCAGCGGCGCCAGCCACGGCGGGCCACGCCTCTGCCCCAGTGGGCGCAGCTCCTCCGCGGGGGTCACCCGCGGCGCGGCCCATAGCTCCCAGCAGCAGGAGCAGCCAGACCGCCCACTGCGACCAGCGCGTCGTCGTCGACCAGGGCCGCCCCCGCTTCTGCCAAGGACTTACGAAGGCCGCTGTCGGGCTGCGGCCTGGCTCCGAGAGCGGCGCCCGACTGGCCTCGCACGGCCGCGGGCCCGCAGGGTCCAACAGCAGGCCGTTCTCTCCCCGACGGGGCTGGCGCTGGGGCCATCGGGGCCCGCGAAGCTGGGGGCTGGACCTCGCCGCTGAAGGCCCCTGCTGGCTGCGGGGGGGCCGCCGCCCCGAGGTCGACGACGAGGTCGTCGTCGCCGAGGCCGTCGCTCCAGCGCGGCTTGGCCGAGGCACGCGAATCCAGCAAGCCCGTGACCGCCTCGCCCTGGGCGCTGAGGCGGCCGACGATCTCGACCAGCCTAGGGGGGGCGCCCTCCGAGCACTGCTTGAGGATGTCCGCCAGCCCGTGGACCTGCATGAGGAGCCCGCGCCGCCACACGAACCTCGCCCTGGGAGCCACCGAAGACCTCGTTGGCCCGCAGGAGGGCCTGCTGCGTGGCCTGCGCCGTGGTCTCCTCGAGCTTCGCGATCTCGTCGACGGCCTCATCGATCTCGACCTCCAGCCTGGACAGCTTCTCCTGCATGTCCGCGATCGGGGCCCGTAGGGTGTCAGCCTCCTGCACATTGCGTTCCCGCGTAGAGCGGGCCTTGACCAGCTGGCGCTCAGCCTTCTGGATGGCGTTGGCCTCACCACGGAGCACTGCGTGGGGCGGCCGCTCGACCCACTGCGCCTGCTGCAAGGCAGCCTCCAGGGCCTGGACGCGGTCGCGCTCGGCCTGCAGCGCCTCCTCTGCCTCGCGCCTGAACACGTCAGAGCTTCCCGCGAGGCCCGCGGCCTGCTGGTGGAAGCCGACGTGGTCCTTGGCCTCAGCGAATTGCCGCTGAAGCCCCAGCAGCTGGGACGGGCCCTCAGACCCTGCCTGGCCGCCGCCCTTGCCGCCTCCCTTGCCGCGCACCCTGCTGCTGGGCGTGCTGTTGGGCGCGGTGCTCGCGCCAGAGGCCGCCCGCTGGCCTGCGGCGGCCGCACGGCGGGCCGCCCGCTGCGCCGAGCGTCCCCTGGGCTGCTGCACGAAACCGTCGCCGTCGGCCAGCGGGCCTGGGATGCCACGATACGGTTTCGTCCAGCGAGGCGCCTGGGAGCCGCAGGTCTTGCAGGTCCACCGCTTGCAGTAGTTCCACTCTCCGCACGGGCAGACCCAGTACGCCTTGTCAGCGGCCCGTCCCCGCCACGCCGCAGCCACATGCCCAGAGCCAGTCCCCGCCATGGCCGATGACCTGCGGGGTGCGCGGAGGGCGCGCACGGCTGCCGACGAGAGGGCCAGTGATCACACCACAAAACTTGGCCCGCAGCGAGGAGGTCCTCGCGCTCTGAACGCCGCGGACGACTCGCGGTCGTCGGACGCTCCATGGCCTTGAGCCAAAATGGCTAGCTCCTGTGGTCTGTCGTGCTGGTCCGTGCTCCTGTTGTGGTCAGCCGTTCTCCTGCTGTGGTCAACCGTGCTCCTGTGGTCTTCCGTGCTGGTCTGCCGTGCTGCTGTGGTCTGCCGTGTTCCTGTGGGGCGGATCCTTCCTATTTGGGGAAGATGTCTCGTGCGAAACTCATGTTGCCCCATACGTCGATGCCAGTCTATTCGTAGTTTGGTGATGATGTCCCGAGATAAATCGCAATTGTCGCTCGTCTTGAGGGCGCTACTGGGGTTATCGTGGGGTCTTTTTCGGGCCCCTGCTTCAGCCTGCGTTCCCCAGGGGATCCAGGCTACGTTTTCCAAGGGATCCAGCGTCCCGTCGAGCTTCCCTGGGGCTCATACGGACTTCTGCAGTGAAGCAACGTGCGCACACCGGCGAGGCGACTGCGTCCTGTCACCTGGCAAGACCGTCAGCCAGTGAAGGGTCCTTCCTGGCCGGTCGAGGGTCCCACCTGGCCAGTGAAGACATTCTTCTCGGCAGCCAAGGCCTCCAAGATGGCCAAAGATGCCTACAAAAAACGACCAAAGATGTCCCCGAGACGGCCCAAGAAGGCCTCAAGAGAGCTCGAAAGGCCTGAAGACGGCCCAAGATGGCCGCCAAAGGATCCCCACGAGGACCCGAAGATGCCAAAATCATGTGTGTGCGTGTGTGTTCCGACGGCTCTTGAACGACTTGGGCGTCTTCACTTTTTCGGGCTGCCTTCAGCTCCAGACGGCCCTGGAGGCATCCAAGATGGCCCCAAGACCAAGAGGTTTCGAAAATGATATAATCATCCTCCAAGACGGCCTCAAGACAGCCTAAGAGGGCCACTGGACGGCCGAGGACGGCCCCAAGACGGTACAAAGCTGGCCAAAAGGGAGCCTCCCGAGAGAACCAAGAGAGCCGTAAAGTAGAGAGCCCCTCGACGGTCCAAGATGGCCCCAAGACGGCCACACAGAGACTGCAAAAGACCCCCTCGGACGGCCAAGACGGCCCCAAGACGCCCCAAGAGAGCCCCAAAAACGGCCCAAGAGGATCCCAAGACGGCCAAAACTGGCCCAGGGGACCCCCAAGAGTGCCTCTTAAGGAGCCCAAGGAACGACGGAAGAAAGGGAGAAGGACGGCGAAGACGATGAGAGAACCACCGACACGACGCGGATAAGCGTGTCACATGCTACGGCTCTCCCAATTCTGGGCACAGGAAATGTCACGCGTGACGGCCTCCCGTGTTCCCTCGAACAGCCGCCACCCAGAATGCTGGGCTGGCAAGGTGGCTGGACTTGCCACAAGCAGCTGGATATTGTCAAAGTGCCTCTCGATCCACGATTCCCTTCTTACGGTGAGGTGGACGACGCACCTCCACTCCAAATGGACCCGCTGTCCGGATCCCAGCCGTTCTTCAGCATGCTGGAGGCGACCGAGTGGCGATCGCAGAATGCCGATCCTGCCAGGGGGGGGCAGCATCAGCCAGCATCGAATCGGGAGGCCGGATCGGATCGGAACGAGCATCGGATCGGTTTGCATTGGCACGGAGTCGGAATCGACTCGAATCGACCGCGCCAAGATGCGCAGCAGTGCCATACAAGCATTGGGCCTCATCGAATCGTCGGAACTCGGAATCGAGTCGGATCGGGCCGGCAAGAATCGACATCGAATCGGATCGATCGGATCGAAACTGACCCCGCGAGGGGCCCCGCGGGGGAGTGGGGGGGAAGGCGAAAGCGGCCCATCCGGCCGACGGCGGCAAGGAGGGCGGCACGAACGCTTCACGACGACATCTGGCAACACGCCTCCCCCTCTAACCCTCCACAATTACCCAATATGAATACTACTCTCCTCTCTCCCCTGATGACGTCCGGAAGATAGCCGCCCCCCTTCCGCGTACTGCTTTTTACACACAAGATTCCCAGGAACTTGGTTTTCGCTGGGGCTTGTTTCAAAATGTTGCTCCCGCTGGAGCGCTGGCCTCATTTTCAGGCTTCCGCTCGTTCCGAATCGTGCTCCTGCTGCAGCGCTGGCCTCATTTCCGCGCTTCCGCTCATCCCGAATCGTGCTCCCGCTGCAGGGCTGGCCTCCTTTCCGCGCTTCCGCTCGTTCCGAATCGTGCTCCCGCTGCAGCGTTGGCGTGATAATTTCCAGTGCCATGCCACGGCATGGTTCCCGGTCCTTCCAGATAGGCTCCAAAATCTAGAAAATGCCCCCCCGAAAAACCATCGGTAGCGATTACACATCCGGTGCCGATTCGTTGATGTGTTGGGCCGCTGGGGCGTCGCCCGCCACGCCATGCTATGTCATGCTACGCGTTGATATTCAACGCCACGCCATGCCATGTCATGTTATGCAATGCTACGACATCAGACTGTGCGAATGGAGTGGAGGAGCTCTACGCCATGGTAAGGGATGGGAGGGAGGGGTAGGAAATCAGCTATGACGCGAGCGCACCAAGCTTGTCCGTGTCCCTATCTCCTCCCCTCTCCTGTCCCCCTCCTGCCCGCCCTCATCCTCTAATTACCTTCCAGCGCGCAGCGCCGCTGGGTGTCTTCGTGGGGGCCTCGGCGCTCTTTGAGCGGTACTCTACGGCTGGTGCCCCGCGCTGCCTTCGATAATTCTCAGGTTCGTGCACTTGTCCTGTTGCTCTATGGTTCGTGCTCTAAAATAGGTCCGTGCGGCGTCGGCACAGACAAAAGTTTTTGACACCGCGTCGATTGTTCAACCTTGAATCGGTCGCGGCCCCGATCTTTCAAGGTTGAATCCTGTCGGGTCCAGTGGCGTCACCGTGTTCCTCGGCGCTTCCGCGTCATAGAGTTCAACCTTGAACGCCTTCGACAGCGTCGCCAGCGCGCCATCGCCGCACGAGCCTACCGCATGGCGGTATTGCCCTGCTGCCCTAGGGGATGGTGTTCTATGGCTGGTGCCCGATGGTGCGTTCGATGATTGTGACGCTCGCTTCCTTGCCCTGGTGCCAGGTGCCCTCGGGATGGTGCTCCATGGCTTGAACCCTGGTGCTCCATGTTCGGTGCTCTGTGGCTGGTGCCCTGCGATGCTCTTGAATGATACGATCTGTTTGCTACTGTACACCAGCGGGTGGCCCGCTGGCAGAGGCCGCCGCTGCTCCTCCCCCTCCGAAGGCACGGCGAGTCGACACAGAGAGCGGGAGCATGGCCCCCAGCCCGCGGCCCCTCGCTCAAGACCCGCCGCGCGGACAGGAAGGGGGCTGCGGCGGCCCGCGGAACCCAGGCGCGTCGCCCCCGCTGACCAGAGACAACCCGGGACAGGCCCGAGCAGACCACACGTGGGTCCCTCTGTGACAGCTCAGGGCGAAATCAATACACATCCACCGCTCCCTGGCCAGGCCCATCCCGAACCCAGCAGCGGTGTATACGTCACGCCCTCCTGGCCTGGCCAGGAGGGCGCAGGCACAGCAACTGGGTTCAGGATGGGCCTGGCCAGGGACCAGTGGATGTGTATGGATTTCGTCGCTCGACAACTCTCACACGAGCCTCCCATGTCATCTTGCTGGCTCTTGCGAATCGACGCTGGCCGACGCTAATCGACGCCAATGGGCGCACATTGGCGCTGATCCAGGCCAACTTGGCGCTTCCTCATCGACTGCCACACGATAGCGCACGCTGATGCACTCTGAAGACAAAGTTCAAATGGCATAGAAAGCTCCCATGATTTGCTGCCGAATGGTGGTCCTGCTCGAAGACGGGGCAAATTAGCAACGCTTGGTTGCAGCGGTGGCTAAAGCGCTCCGCGTCCGCAGCCTGAGCGGGCCGAGAAAAAAAGAACCGACCACAGCGAACAACAAAAACCACGAGTGAAGCCGAAATGCGTCCCTTGTGGGCCTCTCCATCCGAGGGTCGAGGTGGTCGCCGTCGGCCCTGTCTGGACTTCCAGAGGCGTCAGGGGACGTCTAGAGACCTGCCGGGGCGCTCCTGGAGGAAGAAAAAGCTGCGAAATTTCAAGGTCCGCGCGGATTTCTTGCATCTGCGCTGAACGAGCCCCCCTCCCTGCAGCCAGGGGGTCCCAGCGCAGATCCCAAAAATCCGCACCGACCGCCGAAAGTTCATATTCATACCACTTGTGCTTCTTCTTCGAAGGGCGCTCCGGACGCCCTGGATCACCAAAATGGTGAGTCTCGCTGTGACTGCGTTCTAAGGGCGTCTGCGGATGATCCTGGGCGAAGTCCCAAAAACGTCTCGCTGTGACTTCTGCCGCCCTCCGCCAGCGACGGACCCGCCGCCGCTTTCTGCTTCTGCTGGCATCGGCCGGCCCTCTCCGCCGCCATCCGCCGAAGGCGAGGAGGCATCAAAGGCGAGGCCCTCGCTGGAGCGCCCCACGGGTGGAGGGCGGGCGCTCTCCTGACCGCGGCTGGGCGAGAGTGGGCTGCATATCTCCCCCCCCCCGACTGCTTCATCTCCAAGTCCTCCTCCTCC